ATTACAGTAAAAAATCTGATGAATGAGCTGTAATACCAGATGGACAATTGCTGGCCCGCATTATTATGAGAACTGTGTTGAGCAACATCTTGCGCAAAAAAATATATTTCATTCTTCGAAACTCAAAAATGCAATATTCTCATATTTCAATTTGTTTTTCAAATCTATCCTCCTCACTTTCAATAAAAATTTAAAAGTTTATGCATATAAAGCCTGTGAAAGCTATAAAAAAGCGCTGCAGACAGCTTTATGACTTGGGTATCTGTAAGGCAAAGTAATCACAGTGGTAATAACAAAAGCAATTGACACAAAAGCGCGAACGAACGTTTGAATGACAGTTAAGCAATATAAATCGGCTTTTCAGCAGTATTACGCAACAGCTGATAATTTTGGTGCGCTCCTTGTAAGCACGCAGGGATTATATGAGAAAGAAGTGTATGCAATTATACTTGTACAGTGGTGGTCATGGAATTGGAAACAGGCAAGATATATTTAAGAAGTCTTCAGCAGTCGTAGGCTCGGTATAAGGGAACTGTGGGACGGCATTTCAAGCTCCCTACGTACTGCTGCAAACGAAACCATTGATTTTCGGAAAAGTCAAACGAATCGCTGGTACGAAGAAGAGTGGGAAGCAAGAGCGTCAGCACACCCATTAGAGGGGCAAGTGCATAGTGACTTGTCTGCATAGAAAAGGAAGTTTTGTGTTCTCGACCCAGATCGCTTCGCGGTTGCAAGGCAAAAGTTAAAGAAGAAGAACGAGATATTTATCGGGGGCACAGAGATATATTTTTGTAGTTTGTACTACTTTGGTTTATAGCCCAGATTGCAGCCTCGCGATGAATTCACTTAATAGGTTTCTATGTCAATACAATTGGCTAAAATTATATCTTAAATTGAATGGTCAAAGCAAAAAAGTACATTTTTGTTCAGAGATGGTCTTTGAAAAGTTCAAAAGAGAAACCCAAATATTCGTCATATATAATTTTTAACGACGAGGGCATATAAAATGTACCTCTGAGCAGTTTTTCAACGCAGACATTTTCTAAAAAACAATTTTTAGACTATACATTTAAATCGGGTTATTTAACTATAGGTCGGGTCGTTCGAACAAAAGTATTGAAAATTATTTATGGCACATCTTTCTCATTTTTAAAAGAATCCAAAGTGGTCACAATCAGAAATAGTAAAATAGTCACATTGCAAGCAGTTGTCGAAAAATTAAAATATATTGATGACCGCGCTTGTGTCAAAATGAATATGTACCCATTTCAATGCCAATAACTGTGTTTGCTTCAATAGTAAAAAAAAATCTCACACAATTTCCTTATCTCAATGACTTCTAAGCTCTGACTTTCTTCCTCTGCTCTGCGTTATTTTCAATATTTTATTTATTTCGGTTTGGAGCACATACATACATACATCTACCGAGAATCACAGCACTTATGCCATCAACGACGAAAATTAGGCCACCACACAAAGCATTGAGAATAAATAATAACTACAACAAAGATAACAACAATATCCATTACAAAAAAGCCAATACACAATATGTCTTCCTTAAGACACTTGCAATATAAAAGTGTTACACAATTGAGTTGTAAGTACGTAGCACATCCAACAACAAAGTGGATTGAAGAAAAAGCTTAGGTGGAAGCAGGTGATATAGAGCAGACAAATACAAAAAGGCAATATATATGTACTATATATATAAAAACATATAGATTTTCGTGTCACGTCAACAATCACACGAAGTATTCCAGAATACTTTGCGAAAAGCGATTTGTGAGCGGTGTCAACGAAAGCGCAAAATAAAAGTGGCACACATTATATAATATATTATTTATAAGTACTTGTTTGTATAAGTTTGTATATACATATATGTATCCAAAGTAGCCACATTCAACCAAAAAACGATGCAATAAAAGTTAACGCGAAAAGGTAAAATATTTTTCATCCTTCATTGCATTGACTTGACATGCCACAAGCTGTGGCAGAAAACGAATCAGTTGGAAAATATGTAGAATGTAGCAGAACATTGTTGCATTAAAGGCATAACTTGTCGTGGAACTTTTGGTGTCTAAGCTGATGTCGAATAAATGGTTCAGTTTGGTAGCAGCGAAGTAGTTGAAGAAACGAAGGACGTGGAGAACTGAGCTTCTATAGAGATAAATATTGACAGATTTCAGACTTATTTATTGACAAGACTTGTACTTTTTATGTTTGTGCAGAAGACGCTCTGTTACTTTCCATTTCTTAAAGCCTTGCGTCTGGTTTCTGCTCTCTGAAGCTTACAACTCTTAAAGTATCTTTATTAATTTCCTAACATATCTTAAAGCAATTTAGAACTATTGTAGTTCGAAAAGTGCCTTCCAGAACCGTCTTATATAGGCAATACTTAGATGCTAAAGCAAAAGGTTTTCATGGACAACGAGACATTGAGAGAAGAGAACTTAAACAAATAACGCATGGGTAGTTTGTTCTTAATATTATGTAGATCAAAGGCAAATCCAAGGGAAGCGGGATAGTGACAACTGAATAATGATATATATTTTTGACACTCAAATCCCAGCCAAATTCGAGATTTTAATTCCAATTCCGAAGAATTTACGAGTAACACCAATATTTGAAACATGAAAAAGCCTCCAGAAAGAAAGTCCAAGCCAGTTACAGCTGCAGATCTTGGTAAGACAAAGATCTTTGGAGAATTTCGACAAGCCTTTCTCAAGCACTTCTATACATTTCGCTTACGAGTCCCAATAAAATTCATAGATAATTTCGTCTATCTTAGAGCCAGTATTAAGACCAACAACAATGACAGCCTCTAAATCCAAAGCAGAATAACTCTTGCCAAGAGGTACTACTACTTCGGAGTGAATAGGCAATTGAAATGTCCTCTCATGCCGAACAAAGACCAAACTCTATAAGTCCCTCGTTATTCTCGTCCTGTCATATGGGGCAGAGGCATGGACGATGACAACATCTGATCTGAAGGTACTGCGGAAGATTTATTGTTCTGCCTGAGTCAGCAATAAGTTGCCTTCCTTTGCTGCATACGAGACTGAGACTCACTGAATGGTTGGCCGTAGTCTCTTGAGCTGACTTCTTCAATTCATTTTTTTTGTTTTTTGAAACCCGATCTCGTTAATATATATTATTTCACTTTATGATTAATTTTTTTTTTGTAACCGAAAGCTTCAGAAAAATTCCCCCTCAATCACACAGAAACCTGAACTCGTCATGGCTCGAATCTATTCAAATCACATCTGCTCAGCAGCAAAAGCTTTTCTCACTGTCAACATAGAAATATTTTTGCACAACTATTTTCGCTTTTCGCACGAAAACAGCAGCGCTATGCATGGCAGCCACTACGGTGCTACGTGACGTATAAGCTACTTGCCACATAACAGTATTGTCAAAAGACACAGCTGTGTCATACCATTTGGTGCGAATTTTTTGCACGCGCGCGAACTTTTGTAGAGAAATGTTGGTAGACGACAGCTATAAGGATGTCAACAAACAATAACAAGAAATACATGGAAAAATTGCAAAAAGTAAAGGAATAAAAATACCAGGGGTGGATAATGGTATATATTTTATTGTGATCGTGTTTGTGACACAATTTTTCAATTTAATAACTTTATTATGTATTTTCCCACTAGATATTACCACTCAGTGGAAAATGCATATCGCGTTCTTTCTTATTGGCGGATGGAGTCATGTGTAAATGTTCACGGAAATGCCATTCACTTGGCAGTGGCCAGAAACGATGCTTTTCCATATGGCTCAAGCAGCTCACGACATCCGTTCCTAGGCTAAAAAACATCCGTTTGAAGGCAAGATAATGTGGGAAGGTGAACCATTCCTCCACAGTGTTGCGCGCAAGGTTTGGAAGCTGCCACTTTAAACAAGCCCCCAATAAAAAAGAATGCATTAGTATCATTCCATTCTTTATTAATTCTTCCAAAATTATTTGGAGGGATCTCAGGGATCTCTGACTTTCTTAGGCCTTAGCTCCAGTTTACCGAAAAGAAGTAGACATTTCCTCTGTCAGCGTTAGTTTTATCTTCGAAGTGCAAATATTTTCTACTGTCTCGCAAGCTATAACTCCACTTTTAGTAAAACTGGTCCTAACCCACTGCCAGTTCCGTTTGGGAAGGGCACTATAAACAGAAGAATTACTTTTGTTTATCTGCCGCTGATGAAAAGTCTGATAAGTGCCAGCAAGCTAAAAATTAAAGGTCTCTGCTTTCATATATGAAGACGTCATAACCGATATTAATCTATGTTAAGTATTCTCCAGTCTAAAAGAAGGGCACTCAAACTGAACCCCTATAACTAGATATATAATTACAACAACAGTTGAGAAGGTATCCTGGATGAAACTAACGAGAATGACTAAGCTTGGAAACACTCTTTGCTTCCCTGTGAGAATACCGGCAACTGCCGCAAGCTTGTTCTCGACCAGATCCCAAAAGTTGCACAAAAAACGTAGCGAGCTTGACGAAGTGGCTGATTTTATGTTTGACCAAGTGCTAAGTATTTTCGAAAGAATTTCGTCATAGCTTTATAGAAATCCCTGGAAAGAAAATTGGAGATAGTATCTGTCGATATTCGATCAGTTAAAGTCTAACTAAAGTTGAAGATGCTTTCTCGGTATTTAGAGTTTCGTAATAATTTCGAAAGGCATAACGTACTTTCTGTTGTAGCTAAGATGGTCGAACTTCTTCTATAACCTGACTTAGCCTAATTGATTGCAACTTCTATTGCTAACTTTACTAACTTTACTGAATCAAACATCTAGTGGCTATTGGTGGAATCAACCACTGCAGCCTGAACTGCTATTCTCCAAGTTATTCTACGATATTCGTAGGTTTTGACTGCTATATCAACAAAACTAGAAATTCCGACTGAGGTATAAAATTAATACATAATACGAACTACAAATTTTCTATCCTAAGGCACATTCTTGTAGAGCAATAAGAAAATAATTCTTGTTCTAATTTTAGTAAAATATTTTATTAAAAAATCTTTATTTGAAAAGTTGTCGTAATATTTACATAAAAAGTTGAAGTTTTGATAACTACACGGATAAAGGGTTTAAAAGATCTGTTTGAATAATAAATTGGACTTAGAGACAGGACAGGCGCTACAAGTGCTGCAGACACGATGGATTGTTTGGGTCACTCACAACAGCTGGCAACACCTGTACACCACTTATTTGAAAGATATAGAGTATTAGTGATGCTTGTAGATGACCGAGCTCACCTCATCATAACGGAGCACCAGTAGCTTGAGACAAAATTGACCCATAACCGCGTGCAGTTAAAGTTTGTTTGATAATTTGTTGCTTGACATCAGCAGTGAGCAAACGTGGCACTTTCACTTTCACCGATTCCACGTCGGCTTCTCCCTTGACCGGCACAATGACGCGATACTCCTCCTCACTGGAATCATTTGGACTGGAGACGATGTATGGCAAGTGCACGGCGTGTGCGCAAGCAAGTGCTGTGGGAAGAACGTAAAAAGTGATACAGGGATTTTTTAAGGATGTTGATGTCCAAGGTGTTTGGTACTCACCGACAGCGAAGATCACGAGGAATTTCATGCTGTTCTGTGTGTTTGTTTGGCTTGATTGTGTCTTCAAAGCTGAAGATGTAAGAGCTTATATACAAAAGTTAAACGCAGTGCGACACACCTTGCCACATTCGCAGACTTGAATATTATTACTTTGAGTATTTATAAAATTTATTACCGTTACAAACACACACATACTTAGAGTGAAAGTTCAATAAGTATTCATTTATCGAGACAAGCATATTTTGTGTGGCGTGTGTAAAACGCTCTGCCTCTACCTCACTTCTTTCGTCCAATTGGGAGTACTTGCAGTTTTTGTAAAGCGTGTTTACTGATAAATATATTTGTATATATATATATACATATATATATAGTATAACACAATGTGATTATATATATATATACGTATGTATCACACCTAAACGCTGCAGAGATTAAATCAGTTAATTTTATTCTTTTGCTTATTGAAAGTGCCTTATAAGCTTAGCTGGCTTGATTACATCACTTGTTCCGCTTGTCTGGTTTTATATAGCTCTTTTTTATGGCACCTTCCGAATTATGTAACTTAAATATATTTTTCAATTACCTGTGCTTTTTTCAAGGTGTAAAGAATTTGAAAAAAAACAATTAGTTTCTGAAACGATTTGTAATCTATCATTTTAACATTATTCATTGCCTTGTGTTATTGTTGTTGTTTTATAAATATAATAACGATATTTTTTGAATAATGGAACCTCCAATGGTTGTAAAGGAGATTTATCCATTCCAAGGCTAAAAAAAACGCCAGCAAAGGGTAGCTAAAATAGATCATTTATTAAAAATATTACAATATTACATTAATATATTTTGTCAATAGATGTCGTTGCAATCGTATACCTTCAGTACTGCCCATGACATTGTGTCAAACCATATAGTGTTGGAAAGGTGAGATTTTAAGCTTCATTTTACAAAAAAAAAGAGTTTAATTCGTGTAGCACAAAAATGGATCGCTCGCTTCCATTCTGGAAATTTCGATATGAAAGATGCACTACGCTCTTGCCGATTTGTCATTGAAAATGTGGATGAAATTATGGAAAAGATTGATCAGGACCATCATATAAGCAGCCATGACATCACTAAGGAACTTAAGGGGGTATTTCTCCTCTAGAAATCAAATTTTGGGCAGTTTTTTGACCACCAAACACCAAAATAATTTTTTACGCTTTTTTTTAATTCCTGAATTTTTTTAAAATATCAAAAACAAAGGACTAAGGATTATATAAAGAAGGTTCACACAAAATTTCAAGTAAATCGGTTGTACACAACTTGATTAATGCCGGTACTGTGTGGAAAAAAGTAGTTTTGAGAAAAACGCGTTTAAAAAAGTGAGTCTACCTACCTAATGGGCTAGGTACTGCATCACTAAAGTAACTGTAGCTCTTAAAATAACTTTAATTTTTAAAAATCCTTTGGAGGATATGTTCTTAAGGGTCTAAACTTTAAATATATGAAAAAAAAATCGAATTTTTCAAAATTCTAGAGTAGAAGACCCCCTTACAAATCATAATCAAAGTGGTTTTGAACCATTTAAAAAAGAATGGTACCAAAAGGAGCTCGATGTTTGAGAACCACATGAATTGTCTGTTAAAAATTGAATGGACCTAATGAACATCTGCGTTTCTTTGCTGAAACGAAATGAAATCGAACCATTTCTGAAGCGAATGGTAATAGGAGACAAAAAGTAGATCAAATACGACAATAATGTGCGAAAAACATTATGGTCCAAGCGTGGTAAGGCTCAACAAACGGTCGCAAAGCCAGGATAGATGCCTGCTGAGTGTTTGGTGGGATTGGAAAGAAGTGTATGAGCTCTTCCACTTTGAGCTGCTCCAGCCTGGTCGAACGACTGATTCTACATTTTGCTGGCAACAACTGATGAGATTGAAGCCCTAAACTTGCACCATCGAACTAAAATTTGTTTCGGACAATGTAGAACTCTCTTAATGAAGTAAAGTTGCTTCAAGAGAAGCCTGAGAAAGTTACTTGTCGCAGTTTTTTTTTTTTTTTGCCGAGAAACCAGAAAAGTTTTACACTGATGGAATATTGTCTCCAGCAGAAAAATGGCAAAGAGTGGTCGACCAAAACGGTAAACATTTGGATCATTGAAGTTCATTGTAAATATAAAAAACATTAGATGAAATTTTATGAAAAAAAACGAAAAGACTTTTTCGATTACCCATTATATGAAAAGGTAGAGGCGACACAACCTGATTTTTTTGTTTTGTCTTCAACTTCAGAATCGTGTATTTATATATTTGAGTTTGGTTAGCAAGCTTTGGATTACATGAACTAGTCCCAATCACCGAAAGCATTTAAAGGAAACAAGCTTCATTTTCAGTTTCCTTTCAACATTTTTTATATCCTGAATAAGATATATCCCCAAAGGAAAAAGTGGAGATCCTATAAAATGTACGAGCTCCTTGAGTTCTACAGGGTTCCAGCACATACATTTTAGTATTAGAAAGTAATAAGTAACAGATTTCGGCTGGGTCGAAAGTAAAAAGTGATTGTAACCTAACACAGCAGCTGCTCTTATTGCACCTAAATAACTTTCTTTCTAAAGGGATTACTTACAATGACCACATTGGCAACAGTATCAATCTTTTTTCGTATTACTCTTAATCTTCTTTAGATATACAACATACCAGCGGTATCGCCAAAAATTAGAAAACCGTAGAGCATGTTAGAGAGAGATCATTTACACCACTTTTTTTTCCAGATTGACAACGAGTCGATATTCCGTTGCCCTCTTACGCGCTAACTTGGATCTATGCAGCTGCTATGAACCGATTGTCAAAAACAAAAACTTGTACTGCTGTGAGATTCTACTGGTTTAAAGTGAACCGCAACGATGTCTCTGAGCTACTTGCTCTGACAAAGTTCATCTCGCCACCGTGGTAGGTGTCCTGGCTGGACATAGCCCAATAAGCTCATCCCATATGTTGTATTATCCCTAAATATTATTTCGCTAACTTTTTGCAAAAGCTGTATGACCGAAGACGAGGTGGACGCAACTGAACACTTGCTCCGCTACTGCCCAGCTTTGGCTATCCTGATTCTGAAATAACTCGTGTGACAAACTTTCGACGAACCTTGCGGAAAAGGTGGGATTGTTATTAACGGCCTGAATAAATTTAGGGTGAGCTCAATGTGTTTTTTCTGAGTATAAAGTTGTGTTGATCCAATTTTAAAGTTTTTGGGTATCACAAAAGATTAACGTTCACATCTGTTCGTGTGATATCCAGCGCTACCTCTGACGAGAGTATCAACTCCACGACCTAACCTAACCAACCTGGTTACTTAAAATTGTTATATCTACTTTTTAACTGTCCGAAACAGAGATGATAGAACGTATACCGCAAAATACAATGAAACTTGAGTCAAGACAGAAACAATCTTTTTCTACAGGTACCCCTTTCCCATGACAAAATTTCTAGGCGCCCAAATGAGAATTTATAGAAATAAATACGGGTTCTTATTATGTGAACTTGCTAGGAGTTGGAGTTGCTGGGAGTTGGGGACATAAAATAAATATTAATTTGCTCAACAAGCTTCAACCATAAATTCTACAAAAGGACTCAATTATGCAGGAATATTTACCACGTAAACGGCTGATCTGAACTTTGCACCAGCATATTTTTGGAAACATATTTCACTAGAGAAACATAAAAAAGCATAACATTACGTACCACATACCACACACACATATATGTATAACCATAACATAACGTAAATTATACCCCTCCACATTGACTGCAGCATTAAAATGATAAACAGTCGAAGTTTTGCGTTTTTAATGCGTTGCCGGTACGTGAAACGGTAATCGCCGATAAGCAGCCGAAATGCGGAAATATTATATAAAAAGCACAACTGCCTTCGATAAAGCACTTCCTAAGTAACTTCATTGTTAGCGCGGCGGCTATAATTTTACTATATAAAGTGTTGATTTGGCTTCGGCTGATTGTGACACAACATGCACAAACAAAATATTATTGCATCTGGAGTAAGCAAAAAACGAGCTACAAGTTTTTGGAGCAAAATTCATATTAAGTTTTATTTATTCCACATGACTACTGAATTTTTAGACTCTCCATTGAACAAACTTGTTTTGCCTACCAAAATAGACCTAAATGGTAGATCTAAGCAACTTTCTTAGGAGAAAATGTACAGGAATTCGAATACTCAAGAGCACGCATTTCTTATCGTTCCCAAGATAGTCAGGTCTAAGTAATCGGAATTTTATCCGGACAAAAACTATTAAATCGGCATCATTTCTCGAAATTACTTCAAGTTTTTTTTCTGCTGTTGCAACGACAACAAGGTGTTAGTCTCAGAATTATTACTACGACAAAAGTAAGTAGATGTTTATTCCTACGTCCATTTTCCTTTCTTTTCTGGATGGAAAGGCAGTATTATGGACCGAATTTGAGTTCAATTCTATAGGATTACGGAAGTTCCCGTCTCTATTTCCAAGGATTTTCTTACACTACTTAGTGCAAGTTCCCGTCTTTATCCAATATCAAAGATTTTCTAAGTATCTTAAATCCTTATTACAGGCGACTCTTAGAAAGGTCTTCCTCAGTCTAAGAGCTAACTTCGCTACCAGTTGCTTCAGAGCAAGTCTATTGAAAACAATTTATGACCTTTAGTGTCGAACTTCGCGCTGTCCTAAGAGTTCCACTGATACAAATACTAGCTGTTTTTTGTATGCTTTCCAAACCATTAACCCCATTTAGGCTTCACCATCCCTTTAATGAAGCTCGGTGGCTGCTTTATTTACTTTAGCGTCTAAGCTTGGTTTCCAAATGTCAGTAGCTTGTCCTCCCCCCGTTGTTAGCTTGGTATCATTTAATAATGGTGGCATAACTTTAGGAAATTAGAAATACGGATTCATGTGTAGGAGCTCACGCAAATTAGGAAAGTCGAACCATCCCTAATCAGAAATGTCCTCAATGAAAAAGAAACAACAACGTCGGATAAGGGACTTTTTTGTGGTGTCTACGCCAGTAAAGAAGAAGAATCTTTCAAAAATCTATGTTTACTAGCTATACGACCGATTGACTTATATCGTTTAATATTGT